TTAAGGCTGCTGTCCTTGGGGGAGGGGCAAGGAAGGAGGGTCCAAGGTGTCGGTCCCCACTGAGCGGAGACTAGGGACGGGACGGGTGGCTGCCTGGGGCGTGGCTTCTGCTGGCAAAGGCCCAGGAGCAGGGAGGCGAGGGGAGCTTGTCCTGGCTGCTCCGTCTCCCCACCACGGGCTGTTTGCTAACAGCGGGATTCCCCGCACCCCGTAGGACGGCGGGCCTCTCAGGCTTGCCCAGGAGGTGGGGAGAGGCCAGCAGGTGGGGACGGAGAATGCTTTGTGATGTCGGATTCTGAGATCCCAGTGCTCTGTTTTCCCAGCCTCTCTTCTGTGTCAGTCTTCCCATCAGAGGCTCCTCCCTCGGCTTCTTAAATATATATGTTTTTATTGATTTCAGAGAGAGGAAGGGAGAGGGAGAGACACATGGATCGGCGGCCTACTACACACCCCCTACTGGGAATTGAGCCAGCAACCAGGGTATGTGCCCTGCCTGGAATCTAACCATGACCTCCTGGTTCATAAGCTCAACCACTGAACCACACCAGCCGGGCCTCCCTCAGCTTTTTCTTTTTTTTTAATAAATTTCATTGATTCTTTACGGAGAGGAAGGGATAGAGATAGAGAGCTAGAAACATCGATGAGAGAGAAACATCGATCAGCTGCCTCCTGCACACCCCCCACTGGGGATGTGCCCGCAACCAAAGCACATGCCCTTGACTGGAATTGAACCCGGGACCCTTCAGTCCACAGGCTGACGCTCTTATCCACTGAGCCACACCAGCTGGGCCACCCTCAGCTTCTTACTTAGCTACCCCTCCGTCATCCTTCAGCACCTCAGAGGCCTTCTCGGAGCTCCCTGCCCAGGTGAGACCCTCCGCACACCGTGGGCCCCTCAAGCCCGGCAGCGACAGATGTGAGCTTGTTGGATGACCCACGAACGTCTATTTCTCCCGCGGACCCTACACTCCATAGGGCCGGGCTGGGTACTTTTCCCTCCCCATTTCCTCCTCTCAGCATCCAGCACCGTGCATCCATACAACTCTCCTGAGTTCATTAGTTCTTTTCATTCCATCACCCAGAGACCCTCCTGTTCTCAAGGGGCTTGGAAGTCTCCGAGACAACACATTATCGCACTTAATCCCCACAACCCAGGATGCAAGGTATTCCCCCTTTACAGGCTTCAGGGGTACAGTCACAAGCCCCAGAGACAGCCAGTATGTGGCTGTGGACTCAGGATTTGAACTTGGTTATGTCCGGCTTCGGGGCCCAGCTCTGCCGCTACACCACCCTGCTCTCCTGCCCCAAGGGGTCTTGGGGTCTTCCCTTGCAAACCTCCCCCCTGCACTCCAAAACGCCTGAACTCAAAAGTGACGAGCAGAATTCATTCATTCACTCATTCACTCATTCACTCATTCAACCCATCAACTGACTCACTTATTGTCTGTGCCAGGCCCTATGTGGAGAGTCAGCTAACGCAGGGGCTTTTCTCCGTCCTGGCCTCCCCTCTCCTCGCTGCTCTTGGACTTGACCAGCAGAAGCCACGGCCCAGGCAGCCACCCTGTCCCTAGACTCCCACTCGGTGGGGACAGACAACTTGGATCCTCCTTCGTTGCCCCTCCCTCAAGGACGGCAGCCTAACATGCCTGGGCCGAGCAGCGTGGGTGGTGGGCTCACAGTCCATATGGCCCCCTCATTCTCTGAGGATTCTAGAACCAGAGGAGGACAAGATTCAGCCGAAACCGGTTTTGCTCCGTGGACAGAGCGTCGGCCTGCGGACTGAAGGGTCCTGGGTTCCATTCCGATCAAGGGCATGTACCTTGGTTGCGGGCACATCCCCAGTAGGAGGCATGCAGGAGGCAGCTGATCGATGTTTCTCTCTCATCGATGTTTCTAACTCTCTCTCTCTCTCCTTTCCTCTCTGTAAAAAATCAATAAAATATATATATATTTTTTAAAGAGAGAGATTCTGCCCCCTGCTCCCATGCATTCCTATGGCTGTCGCCCATCCCAGGCAACTCTGGGGAAAGCTCTGGACACGGAGTCACATGACCAGGGTTCCAGCTCCGGGTCTAGGCTAGCTGCGGGCCCTTAGGAGAGAAAGTCACCTGCCTCTCTCTGAGCCACCGATTCCTCGTCTGTGAAACAGGGATGATGATAAGGATGCAATGCTCACCAGTCAGGGAGGTCGGTGAGGATTAACTCATTCAGACCCAGATATACATTTATCATCACACAGTTGGCCATGGGCTTGCAAAGTGGGGATCTCTGGGGGCTAGCTACACTGCTGGCAAGATGCATTTTTAAAAAAAATATGTTTTGATTGATTTCAGAGAGGAAGGGAGAGGGAGAGAGAGGGAGAAATAGCAATGATGAGAGAGAATCGTTGATTGGCCATCTCCTTCATGTTCCCCAGTGAGGATCAAGCACGCAGCCCAGGCGTGTGCCCCTGACCGGAATCAAAGCCTGGACCCTTCAGTCCGCAGGATGACGCTCTATCTACTGAGCCACACCAGCCGGGGCAGAAGATGCATTTGATGACGTGGTTTAAGGAAGGCTGGCTGGGAGCACCCTCAGCAGGCTGAGCCCGAGGCCCCCCTGAGTGGGCCCTCTGACGTGAGGCCTTCCCCCTGCTGGGTGGTAGTGGGGTGCTATGCTCATCGGCCCACCAGCCAGAGGCCCCGGAGAAGGGGCTGGAAGTGGGATCGCACACACTGCACTCAGCTTCCCTCGGACGAGAGCACCATGGGCTCCCCAAGAACAGTGGCTACTCCCAGCCCCACCTTAGGACAAATGCCTCCCTCACTCTCCTCTCTTTAATAGGCTCTAGATTCTCAAGGACCTGGAACATTCCCCCTCTTCGGCTTCCATGTATTGGGCCCAGGCACCAGGCCAGCTGCATTACATATGCTCTCTCGTCCACACCTCGCAGAATCCCTGTTGAAGAAGGTCCTGTTATTTCTCATGCTCCCGATGAAGAAAGTGGGGCTCAAAGGGACGAGGTGACTCACCCCCGCCCCAGAGCCAGGTCAGGAAAGCAAAGTGGAGAGATTCACTGACACACACAAAGCAGAGATGGGCGCTGCCGGTGCTGGGGGCTCTGCCCACTGTCGCTGGTGATGAGTCACTGAAAACGCAGGAGATTCTGTGTCTTCCACTCTTCCCGGGGGAGCAACGATCCCCCCGCCCCCAGCTCATGGATGCCAGGACCCCTCCACACCCACACAGCGCACCCAACGCCCTACTCCAGCGCCCTGCGCTCTGCCCTGCAGAAACCCATCCTTCCCAGCCGAGGAGACTGGGTCTCTATCCATAGGGCAGGGAAACTGAGGCAGGCGGGAGGTTGGGCTGGGGCCGTGGTCGGCAAACTGCGGCTCATTGGCCCCTTGAGTGTGGCTCTTCCACAAAATTCCACGGCCTGGGCAAGTCTATTTTGAAGAGGTGGCATTCGAAGAAGTTTAAGTTTAAAAAATGCGGCTCTCAAAAGAAACGTCAATCGTTGTACTGTTGCTATTTGGCTCTGTTGACTAATGAGTTTGCCGACCCCTGGGCTCGGGGAATGGTGGTTCCCGCTCGGATGGGCATCCGTGACTGGGCCGATCCCACAGATCACACCTCCAGCTTCTGGGTCCACCATCTCCCTCCGCCTTGCCCGGCGGCACCACAGCCCAGAGAGGTGTAGGGCTGTGCCCTCGGTCAACCAGCACGAGGACCCGTTTTCAACTAACGGTCAATGCCAGGGCATCTTTGTTGTCACAAGAACAGGGGTTGCCTCTCCATGCTTTTGCTGGCTGGGAACTAGTAGAGCTGGTTTGGGGGCCGCTGCTGGGGCTGTTTTAGACGTGAGGAGAGGTTCATAGCTTCCAAGAAGAGAGACTCACTGCCCGATGGGAAAGCACAAACTCCGGCCAGACACACTGCTGCTGCCTTTGGCAGAAAGAGACTCTTAGGGGAGAGGAGGGGAAGAGCAAACTGAATGAATAAATTAGAACTTGCTAAATAAATTATACTGACAGGACAAATCAATGGACTATAAAATAAAAATAAAAAATAGAAGAAGGAGGGAGGAGGGAAAATGGGAAGGGCATTTGTGAAGAGGATCTGAGGCCTCTCAAAATCACACCCAGAGCTCCCGACCAGATGACCTCGGGGGATAAGAGCAAAGGACTGACTGGCCTGGACAGTGTGGCTCAGTGGTTGAGCTTGGACCTATGAACCAGGAGATCAAGGTTTGATTCCTGGCCAGTAGGGGGAGAGCCTGCAGGAGGCAGCCAATCAGTGATTTTCATCATTGATGTTTCTCTCTCTCTCTCCCTTCCTCTCTGAAACCAATATATTATAAATAGACTAAATAATAATAATAACAAGAACTGACTGGCTGGCCCACAGGAACCATGGGCTCTCCACTGGCAAATGCACACACACACAGGGGTCTAAGGACACGTTGGATGCCCCTCCCTCTGTTCCAAGGATCTGACAAGCAGCAGCACACTGTCCTGTTACCATACACAGAGAATCACAAACTGACCGTGTGGGGCAGCACACACCAACACAGGGCCCGGGCAGATGATAAATCCCCAAATGTGGTTTGGTAAGCGCCCACGGCACCTTGCAGACACTCTCTTGTCCCCCCCTTCCCCCACCTGCACAGACAGCCTTACACAGCCGGCTCCCCCAGAGTTCCATGGCGCTTCACACACCTCTGCCCGCCCCATGGGGCTCAGAAGTCCAAACACACAGAGCCTGTGCACAGCCACAGACACAGAACCACCCGCTCCAAAGTGGCAGGTGCACCAACTGTCCCCAAACTGTCCCACAGTGCCTGGTGCGGAAAGAAATGCCAAGAGATGATCCCCAGCCATTAGTTACACACACACACACACACACACACACACACACACGCACGGAGACACAAACCCAGCGTCCTCTCCCTGGGAAAGTGGTCTCAGCGCGGGGTCCCATGCGCCCCTGCAGAAAAGGACCCAGCCCAGCGGACTCACCGGATGATGCCGAACATGACGAGCAGGTTGCCCAGCAGCCCCACGGCGCACACGGCCGAGTACAGCGCGGTGATGGCGATGGCCAGCGCGAGGGACGAGGCGCTGCGGCCGCCGGGCGGCCCGGACGCGTTGGCGGCCGCGCTGGGGAGGGCGCCGGGGAAGGCGGTGGGGATGGCGCCCGGGAAGCCGCCGGGGAAGGCGGTGGGGAAGGCGCTGGGGAAGGCGTCCGGGGCCGTGGCGAGGAGCGGGGGCTGCAGCCCGGCGGCGGCGGCGGGGGCCGGCTCCATGGCGGGCGGCCGGCGCCGCGCTCTCCCCGCCGTGCGCCCTGGGCGCAGCGCCCGGAGCTCGGAGCGCGCCGAGGGCTGAGGCCGAGGCCCCGACGCCGCCCGCTAAGCGCCCCGCCGCCCCGCCGCCTCCGCGCCGCCCCCGCGCCGCCCCCGCCCGCCGCTCCGCTGCCCGGAGCCCGCCCGCCGCTCTCCGCGCCCGGAGCCTCTCAACTGGGGCCGCCGGCCCCCCGGACGCGCCCGCCGCGCACCACGTGGCCCGGGGGCGGCCGGGGGCGGGCGCTCACACCGCTGGGCGCCGGGCCGGGGAGCGCCCACGCCCTCCCACAGAGGCCCCTGGGGCTCGGGTGTCCGCGACCCCAGCCGGGACACCCCGCCCCGCCCAGCCCCGCACACACCTTGGCTGCTCTGGGGTCAGAAGGACCGAGGTGAATCCGCCTCTTACCCTGCACTCAGGAACGGTGACCTTGAGCGAGTCCCTTACCCTCTCAGCTCCCTGACCCTCCCCGGTGCAATGAGGGTGATCACACCCCTGGGCTCAGAGATGAATGAAGAGCTTAGCTCAGTGCCTGGCACACAGTGAGTGCCCCGTAGCTAACCATTGGTATCCATGGTTTCTTGTTCCCCATTCATTCGCTCAGCGGACTGGGGGTAGGGGGAGGGGGGTGTCTAAGAGCCAGGTAATACTGGGGACCCGCTAGTGCAGGGCAGCTGATGTGCTCCTGCCTTCTGGGGCTCACCGTCCAGGAAGAAGAGGCACCAACCCTAAAACTACACCGATGAAGATGCAGTTACAGAGGGAGGAACGTGGAGGTCAGCAGGGCTTTCCGGGGGTAGGGCCCACAAAACAGAGGCCAGGACAACTTCCGGACAAAGGGACGCCGGAGGTGAGATGTGACGTTTGGGAACCACGTGTGCGCAGACCCTGTGGTCAGAGGGCTCAGAGGAGGCCAGGGGAAGGGAAGGGAAGGGAGCCAGTGTGGAGAGGATGGGGTGAGGTGGTGGGAAGGTCTGAAACGCCACGGGAATGGGGGGCATTTCTCATATTCCTTCCCTAACCTGACCTGCCCCGGCCCAGAACCACCCTCCTTGGGGCTCCTGTCCCTCCCAGAACATTCTTTCTGCTAACCATTACTCTGTTCCTAGCACTTTATCCATGCATCAACCCATTTTACAGGTGGGAAGACTAAGCCGGGCACTAAACTATCCCATATAGCAATTGTTTCTACCTGCTTTGTTTCCTCCCCGGGGAAATCAGGCTTGATTGATCTCTCCACTGCGCAGAGGGCTGGGGTCACAGTGGCTGCTCAGGAAACACTGGTTGCAGGCGTCTTCAAACTTTTTAAAGTGGGGGCCAGATCACGGTCCCTCAGAGAGCTGGAGGGCCGGACTATATGAACTACTAATTCCTACTGTAACACCTCAGCTGCGCTCACTGCCCAAAAAACCTGGCGGGCCGGATCAGACTCCTCTGCGGGCCGCATGTGGCCCGCGGGCCGTAGTTTGAAGACGCCTGGTAGAGGAATAAAGGCCCCAAGGAGGGTGGAATGGGACCACACTGGGGTTCCTGAGGCTTCGGGGTGATACTCTTGACTCTGAGAGCGGCTAGCCGGGACCCCTCACCCATATCACTCTCCGGCTTGAGCTATCCATCTGTGTGCGAGGCTCTTACCCTTTCCCAGGAAGAGCAAAGCTGGAATTCTCAAGTTCCCCCTCCTCTCCACGCTCTGGCCCTCCCCGCTGCTGCCCACGCCCCCAAATCAGCTACAGGAGATTCCTCACCGCAGGCTTCCCACCTAACCCTCTGAAGACTCCCCGGAGAGGGGATTTTCGTTCTGCGGGCACATGTGTTGCCAAAGCTCTCTCCCCTGTCCCAAAGGGCCTGACACTCAGAGGCTTTTCTGGTGCCAAGGGGGGAGAAATTGGGACAGGAAAGAGGAGAGCTACTTTATGGGAGTTCTGGCCCCTCCCTGTCCTTCCAACAAGCCAAATGCTTTCCTACCTCAGGATATTGCACTCTATTTCTCCCACCCTGAAGGCTGTCACTCCCCCAGGCTGATTGCTCTCCATCCTTCCGGCTTCAGCTTAACTATCACTTCACTGCCCCCATCCCACCACCTGGACCAGGTACCCTTGTTTCTATTTTTGTTTTTAATATATTTTTATTGATTTCAGAGGGGAAGGGAGAGGGAGAGAGAGAAAATTCAATAATGAGACAGAATCACTGATCGGCTGCTTCCTGCATGCCCCCTACTGGGATCAAGCCTGCAACCTGGGCATGCGCCCTTGACCGGAATCAAACCTGGGACTCTTCAGTTCGCAAGCCTAAGCTCTAGCCACTGAGCCAAACCGGCTAGGGCTCACCATGTTGTTTGTTCCCATAGCATCATGTACTTCTTCTTCTTCTTCTTCTTTTTCTTTTTTTTTCTTTTTTTTTTTTTTTTTACAGAGAGGAAGGGAGAGGATAGAAAGTTAGAAACATGATGAGAGAGAAATATCGATCAGCTGCCTCCTGCACACTCCCTACTGGGGATGTGCCTACAACCAAGGTACATGCCCCTTGACCGGAATCGAACCCAGGACCCCAGGCCGACACTCTATCCACTGAGCCAAACTTGTTAGGGCGATGTTCCTCTTCTTTACAGAATGTCTTACATATACTCATTGGATTTTTGTGCTTCACCTTTACAGTAGTCCAGTGCGCTCCCGTACCCCCACCTCAGTACAGTTCCTGGAGCTCAGAGAGTGAGTGAATAGGTAGTTCAACTCCAGCTTCGGTGAGCTCTCATTTTGATGAGGGAGACTGAACAAACAGCTTAATGCAGGCCTAGGAATTCTAAGCAGCTAAAATCTTTTGCACAAACTCAGCAATCACATCTGAAATACCAGATCCCAGCTCCATGCCCGTCCTTGGCTTTTGGCCATCACCAAGCAGGTCTACCCTCCCTCCCTGGCCTTGCATTAGGTCCCTCCCAGTGTGGTCCCAACCGGGGTTTATCGCTGTCCTCTTGCGACTCCATCCCCTGCTCCCACCCCACTGGCATGGTGCAGTCACTCTGGGCTGAAAGGAATTTTTTTGAATTGCATTTCACAGTGTTTCTTTGAGTCCCTCCTGGATGCAGAGATGCTGTGGGGGAAGCCCATAGCTACAGTGGAGGCAAAAAGACAGAGAAAGATTCCCTTCACGTCTCTGAGCCTTGCTTTTCTCTTCTGTGAGGCAGAGAGGTCAGAATGGGTGAGAATCTGGTGAAACAACCGATGTTTGCCGTCTCTGCTCTAGACACAAGAAGCCAGCCATCTGCAACCCAGAAGCGAGCCCTCACCCTGGCACCCTAGTCTTGGACTTCTAGTCCAGGGGACCCTGATCTTGACCTCAGGGGGAAACACACACAAACATAAATGCATGGGAAATCCCGAGCCAACTGGGGGCATCAGCAGGTGTCAGCAGTGGAGAAACAGCAATCACAGACGCAGAGAGGAACTCCCCGGGGAAGCTCTTAACAATTTAGTACGTGGGAATGTGGTTCCCACCTGCCAGAGCAGAGCCGCCTGATGGCAAACACAGCGGCTCCCCTGGGTGCCTCCCCCCCCCCCCCTCTGGCTCGTCTCTGAGCCCCAGGAGAGGGAGGACCTCGACAATACCCACAAAATAACAACCACTTCCATTTGCAAAGCACTTCTGACTTTCCAAAGCACTTCCCTCTGGATGACTTCATCTTACCTGACACCATCTGGACACAGGGAAGGTCAGATTTCATCATCCTCTTTAGAGCTGAGAAGACAGAGATCTGGAGAGGCTGGTGAGCTCCTCAAGGACGCAGAGCAAATCAGGGGGAAAATGGGGTTAGTGCCATCCATCTGGCTGCTCCAGCCAGAAACCTGAGAGTCATTCTTGACTCCCCTCTCTCTTTCCCTCTAGTCTAGGGGTGTCGAACTCAATCAGAGAAGGGGCCAAAATCTAAAATCCAGCCTAAATCGCGGGCCGAATGGTTTACTGAACAGTCATAAACTGTCATTGTGATGGAAACGCAGCGGAGTGCAGTGATGACAGCGCGGTGCGGGCCACATTGCAAGGCCTGGAGGGACGGATTTGGCCCGAGGGCCTTGTGTTTGACACATGTGCTCTAGTCCCTTACGCCTAACCAATCCTTAGGTCCCGTCCGCTCTTCCTAAATAACCCAGGAGTCCTACCATTGTCCTTTACTCTTGCTATATCTTCCCATCCGATGGCACCACCGTTTCTTGCTGAAGCCACTGAAATAGCCCTGGCTTGTCCTCCCTTGCTGCCTCCAAGCAGTAACATGGTGACAGGATGTGCCGCATCTTGCTAGCCTCTTGTTGTAGCACCTTTCCCTTCACACACTACGTTCCAACCAAAATAAACTACAATACTTGTGGGTCTCCCAATAACCTGCTACTCTCACCTCTGGGTTAATCTAAGTGGTTCAGAGGGGAGCTTTGGCCCGGCTGGTGTGGCTCAGTGGTTGAGCATTGACTTACGAACCAGGAGGTCACGGTTTGACTCATAGTCAGAGCACATGCCTAGAGAGCAGGTTTCAGGCTCAATTCCCAGTAGGGGAGCGTGCAGGAGGCAGCTGATCAGTGATCATCTCTCATCATTGATGTTTCTATATCTCTCTCTCCCTTTCCCTTCCTCTCTGGAATCAATAAAAATGTATTTAAAAAAAAAAAGTCTATTGAATTTATTGGGGTGACATGTAATCCAATAATAGAGTAATATACAAAATAACCATCACTCCTCTACACAAGCCATGCCCACCAGCCAGTCAGGGTGAAAATGCAAATTAACCCAACCAAGATGGTGGTTAATTTGCATATCAATACAGTGTAGATAGAAGCCAAGTCTGTAGAAGGGAGTGAAGCTTCAGAGAAGCAGGCAGGGGGAAGGGAGGAAAGAGAAGGGAGGAAAGCAGGCAGGGCAGCGACCACAGCAGGAAGTCTTATTGCAGGAATCATCCTGCAACAGGCCACTAGTTGGTCAATAAAACTAAATAGGTTTTAGGTATACAATGCTACAACACATCACCGGGCAAGTTACTTAACTTCTGTGAGTTTCATAAAACGGGGACAACAAAAGTGTCTGCTTTATACCCCTGGCATGTGGACAGTGCTCAGTGTGTGTTGGCAGTCGCTGTGATGGCT